AGGAACTGTTTATTGACGTTGCAATTTCAAAAATGCGTTTTCACTAGGGTATTTGTACATTACCACCGTATCCTCTGCTCTCTCCCAGCAAAATTAAGCAAATGCGCCTGAAATTCTCAAATATTTACTTATCGTTTGTAAAATGTATCATCATAAACTGAAGAACTCTAAGCACAATTTTTAGACCTTTTCTTCAATTAAATGACCTTGCCTCAGATATCAGAGAATTCTTATAAAATCATTCTTATTTTGTTTGACAGATGCCTAAGCAGTGCAGTTTTAAGAACTGCAAAAACGTTCAAATTTCCGGCTGTGAAAAATCGTTTTTTCGGTTTCCCAAGGATCCTGCCATACAGAAAATTTGGCTCAGCCAGTGCAACGTAACCGCCTGTCGAGACAATGGAAGGATCTGCAGTGATCCTTTTTCGACTGATGACTTCGAAGAGCCTGTAATCTTCAAGACAAGCAGAGGTCGGCGCTTAAAGATTAATGGTAACATATTTTTTCTTCTTTACTGATCCATTATTTTTAATGTCTAAGCAGACATCCATGTTCAAATAACGACATGACAGCCTCATCTAAAGGGACTTACATTACTGACTGCTGTCAGATTATGCGTTCTTTGCCAAAACTCCTCATGATGTCATTTAAAGATGTTACAAAAAAACTTCAATTCTCATTTAATACTTTTTTTTTATCTGAATTTTTTGGCTATCGTCTACGAGAGATTCTAGAAGAAAATTAGAGTCGCCTACTTTCTGTTTGTTACTGCTTTCTTGGCGACAATGGACCACTAGACAAGGTACGAACTTAAGCATTCTGATACATGTTTCTTAACCAGAATTTCATGTAGAATATGATTTGCGCAACGAAAATTCCTGAAACCAACTCCTAATGGAGATATTAACATTTTTATTTCACATTGGTTACGAGGAATTTGAACTGCCCGCTCACAAGAAACTCAAAGCTCTACTTGAGTCAAATCGTGCACCACAACAGTTTCAGCAAGCTTCTCAATCGAGCAATGTTCATTTCCCACCATATGTTGTTCAAACTATAAGTAATTTGCTATAGCTGAGCCAAAGCGTCAAGATTGAGGTTGCCAGATTTGTGTATCGTAGAGACTGTCATGATAACGTTTAGCGCACGATGTGAATCACGTAGAGCATTGAGTTTTCATGAGCGGGTGGTTTGAATTCACGCACCAAGAATCATTAAATATCTTCGAAAGGAGTTGATTTCGGTAAATTTCGTTGTGTGCATCGTGTTCAACGTGAAATTTTGGTTAAGAAACGTGTATCAGAATGCTGAAATTCGTACCTTATCTAGTGGTCCATTGCCCTTTCAAAAGCATCAGACCATCTTGTGGCAAAAATACTGACTGGAATTAATTTATTGGTTGAAATTTTGCCCGTATGCGAAGAGATTAATTCTCAAGGAAAAAGTGTATTGTAGGACCAGGACAAAAGCAGACAGCAGGTTGAATTCAATACTATAATGTCCCTCTCTGTAGGGTCTGCGTTTGTATCAATCTGTGCAGCTGATAACAGACAAGGGCAAAGATGCTTGTTAGCGCAGAAATTGTGAACAAATCGACTGAGCAGACTGGTCTGCAATGAAATAATGCTCTGACTGCCCTGCCCTCATGCTTCCAAGTCCTCATGAAAAGCTTCATCAGCATTCCACTTGATATGATCAGTAGATCTGGGCTCATCACTTTCTTCATTTATAATTTTGTGTTTTTATTCCTGCTTTGAAAGTTATACTAAATTCACTAATTATTTTTTTGGTTTTTTGTTTTTTGCAGCTATTCCCAACCTACTTTTAACTGCATCTGTTGACATTCCTGAATCCCACAAAAGTACTAAGGTAATTTCTTATTACAAAAATTTTCTCGGACAACGGTAGAACATTTTTAGGAGCAAGCATTCACCTTCGAAAACAGTTTGATTCACTAACAAAGGATCCGGATATCCAAAAATACATGACAGAAAATATGATAGAATGGAAATTCAACCCTCCCAATTCTCCTTATCATGGTGGACTTTGGGAGTCAGCAATAAAAATATTCAAATCGCAATTGTATGAAGTAATAAGAGCAAGAATATTTACTTTACAACAATTAACGCAGCTTGTCCCTCAAATTGAAGCTGTGCTCAATTCAAGACCTTTGGTACCCTTGTCCAGCGCCCCTGAAGAGTTTGACGTATTGACGCCAGGTCATTTTTTAATAGGAAGACCTCTCACATCTTATCCTGATGACACACCTACAAAGCAATCTACAAAAATTCTACAGGCGTATGAGGCAATACAGGAAGGATTCAACATATTTTGGAAGAAATGGCAAAGGTAGTATCTTCAACACATTCAAACATTTTCCAAGTGGCACTCAAAAAACGAATCTCCAAAAATAGGATCATTAGTCGTAATAAAGGATAGACACTGTCCCCCGATGTTTTGGAAACTAGGAAGAATACAAAAACTTCACTCAGAATCAGATGGCATCACAAGAGTAGTTACATTGAAAACAGCAACATCCACACTAGTGAGAGCCATCACTGAAGTGTGTATATTACCGTTAAGTGATGACTAACTTTAATTTAATGTGCTTAAAAAAAAAACACACACACAGTTTTCACTGATGAAATTTCAATTTCAATTCAAAAATTTCAAATTTTTAATGATAATCAATCTGTCAGTAGGACAGAAACAATGAACAACAGTTTTCTAAATTCCAGTTAAGTGAAGGCAAAATGGGTCCTGCGGCAAAACCGCGTAAAACAACAAAGAAAAAAGCTTCGGTTTCGAAGCAGTCATTAAAAGGTAAGGGATTAATCTCTTTTTCCTGAATGGAAATGAACATCTGATCACCGTGAAACGAACAAGTCGTTCCTTACAGAAGAATTCATTCTTCCTGTTCTGTTAGTAGGACGTCATTTTCCTAGACTGGAGGTGGCTACCGCCACTCTTGATATAGAAAGCAACTTAGACAGGGTGGAGGACTTCCTGCGCACAAAGGGTCCCCAACCCGACCTCCCCCCCCCCATCCTCAACCTGCTTAAGCAGACGAAAATGGTTTCATTACTGCTTGCGGGACGATTGGACAACTTTTTAAAGGAGATCTGACGAATCCTCAGATTTAAATAATCTGACGATGGATTTATTACATTCAGGGACTGAATTTTTGTGTCACCCCACGGTTGGCATACGAACTCTGAACTTCGGACACACGTGGATATTGCTGAGAAGTTCTATGTCAGGACTGAGCCATGCTGGTACCGATGAGAGAACCAGCAGAGCTAAAATTTTAACCGAAAGATCTCCCCTGGGTCGTGATAATAATATGAGCAATGCAACGATCAGACTTATTCCCGCAAGACCAGCAGAATACGGTAAATATCCTGGAACATTTCAAGTCCTAGTATCATTCACCAAAAGCCTCCAAGAGCTCAGAAAATCTGAGGATCTTTTTGCGGTCTTTAAACTTACTTGACCAGTAATTTTCCCCGGTGATCTCCCGTTCGTAGCGACTAAACGATAACCGGTACGATTACCAGACTTACCTCCCGAGGCCGGCCAAAAGCGGTACGTATCCCAGGACCTTCCAAGTCCTGACATCATTCACCGAGACCGGCCTCTTAAGGCCCAGGAAATCCAAGGATCTTTTTGAAGTCCACGGACTGTCCCAAGCTTTATTCAGGAGAAAGTGCGGCTCGAGTTACCGGTGAAAATGGTTCCCTAGGGAGAGATCTTCCGTTCCTTGCGACTAAGAGATGACGGGTGCGATTACCGGACTTACCTCCCGAGGCCAGCCAAAAGCGGTACGTATCCCAGGACCTTCCAAGTCCTGACATCATTCACCGGGACCGGCCTCTTAAGGCCCAGGAAATCCAAGGATCTTTTTGAAGTCCACGGACAGTCCCAGGCTTCCTTCAGGAGAAAGGGCGGCTCGAGTTACCGGTGAAAATGGTTCCCTAGGGAGAGATCTTCCGTTCCTTGCGACTAAGAGATGACGGGTGCGATTACCGGTCTCACTTCCCGAGGCCAGCCAAATGTGGTACGTATCCCAGGACCTTCCAAGTCCTGACATCATTCACCGAGACCGGCCTCTTAAGGCTCAGGAAATCCAAGGATCTTTTTGCAGTCCACGGACTGTCCCAGGCTTTATTCAGGAGAAAGTGCGGCTCGAGATCCCGGTGAAAAGCGACAGGCCCATTAGACTTGTTCCAAGACGCTATGAAGGAATCATTACAAGGACCGCCTTAGGCAGAGAAGAACTAAGCCACATCAGCCATTGCCAACTTTTACGGGGCACTTTAACATTTGACATGAGAACGGTTGTGCGGATTCTTGTGCCAATTTCAGGAAGTTATCTGCATTGTACAAAGCAAATCCCTTAACATTGTCAGAGGAAACTCCTCAAACGTTCTCTTGTAAAAACTTGCATTTCCCAGAATAAGTTGGCAATAGATGATGTGGCTTGGTTCCTTCCTGCTTAACGGGATCCGTATTATCCATATTCACTTCGTGCCAACTCCAGTCAGAGTTCCTGCGACTGCGAAACAACACAAAAATTATTCGTCAGTGACTGCCAAAAGGAATAAAACGCGTTGAGCGAATCAAGAATGTAGACTTGGGAATAGCAGTTGTGTAATTAGCGGAAGTGTGAATAATCCAAATTCGCACGCTTAAGTAGGATCAGATGAGTTGCGAAGAGCTTCATTTTGCGCGCTTTCAGGAATTAATGTTTACGCATTTTACGAAATGAATCCCCTTTGGAGGGTAATTAATTTCGTCTAACTACCATGCATTTTAACTTTTCTGTGACTTCTTGACTTCGGCGTGACTCATCTAAGGAGACCTTGCACTCGCACGTTGTTTAAGTGTCGTTTGATGGATCATTGTGGGGCCCCTGTTTTTGTCACATATTCTCCGATTTTCACATAGGGTTTGACTAAAATTACATAACTTGGATTCAACATTCTCGTATGGATTGCAATTGGAGATAATTATACGAATACCATGCATAGTAATTACGAACAATAATTTCCTAAATGAATGACAGCCCCCCCCCCCCCCCCNNNNGGTTCATCCCGGACTTGCCATCCTGCTGGTTAAGTAGCCAGCGGGGCGATTATTGAAACTGATGGACAAAGCGATAGACAAAGAAGACATAGGGAGTATGGAGCGATCTTATTGGTTGACATGGTTGGTTTTTATAGATTAAGGAAGAAAATGATAGACTAACTGTCGGGTCTTTAGTGGGTTGCCGTTAGTTAGTCCATTACCTACCTCCATTGTCCTATGTCCATTGCCACCACCTGCTTCCACCAATAGGATCCCTCCAAATCCCTTTTGTCGTCTTTGTCTATTAGTTTCAATAATCGGCCAGCAGGCCCCTGCTCAGTTAGTCAGCCCCGCCCTTGCCCCGTCGCGCGTTATGTTCGCCGCCATTTCGGGTGTTTTCATTGCATTGGCGCGGCCATCGTTCTATAATAAGTTTAAAGACTCCAAGAGACGTGTTCAAAATGTCCTATATCATGGGTGGCGGTAGCAACCTCCGGACAAAGTCTAAACTCGACAACACTGGAAAGCGTCCAAACGAAAAAGCTGGCAGCCAACCATAGACACACGTAACTCCCTTATGCTGAAAATTGATTCGGTTCTAACTCGACTGCAGCCCAAACGACGGCACGGATTCCAACGATCTTGGTGTCTACTGACACACCTAAATTGGGCCTACAAAGTGTTGAAGAATACGAGAAGCAAAGGTTTGAAGCTCCCTTCCATGGAGCTAAATGATTACCCTACGTTCAGAATGAATTCTGCCTGTTGGGCTGCAGTCCCCCAGCTACTCAACAATGGAGTTATATTCCATGGTCGCAACTCCCGGAGTACATTGCGGAGAGCAGAAGAGTACAGTAGCTGTAAGTCGAGGTGCACGATGCCGTAAGTCGAGGTGCACGATGCCGTCGGGGCGGTGGGAGGGGTTGCGGATCTTGGAGGAGTTCCGCTCCTTCCGAGCCCTCAACCCCTTTTAGTCGCACCACACACAATGATGCAGTGTGAAGCCAAGGTAGACTGCAATCGTTGCAAGATTATTTTAGTTACAACCTCTACTGAGCCTTGCCACTCACTAATAGAGTGCAGAGAATATAATCCGGAGAAACGTAGTCTTACTTATCCCTCAACACAGCTAGTCGAGTCAGTAGGAATGTGTCTAACTTTCATAGATGAATTTCTCAATAAAAGAGCATATATTCCCAAATTAAAGGAAACCATTACAACCGCAATGGAAAAGAACATCAGTTTTGTGTGGCTTGCAATGCACAGTTGTTCTAAAACACATTATGAAACCATTAAGCCTCTAATCATAAAAGACTGTTTTTTTATTGCCGTTAAATGGTGGTGTACCAGGCAGAATAGGAAATATGTTGCAGAACAACGGAAAGCTCAGCAACAAAAGAAACTAGCTAACTTGAAGGGTGTGTAAAGCAATGCATACAATTGTAAATCTCGAAAATAATGAAAATATTCTGGATTGTTAAGACCTGTATTCATATTAAGAATTTGTATAAATAATGTAAGGCTTTACAAAACATCTACATCAAATGTAAATACCTGTAACATCCACTTTAACAACCTCACATTGACCTTGTCAAAGTTTGTACAAAATGTAAATTTATTATGCAGATCTGTGAGTCATTATTTTTAATCTCAGCGCTTGTCAACATTTATGTGCAACTTGATAAAATATTTGTTAAAATGTCTTTCTTTCCAAGTGCTAATAAATAATTGCATTATCACTTTAACAACTTGTCTGCTTCTAGAAAACATCCACAAACCTGATTGAGGACACCATCACCCTTGGAAAGATAAGAACCTAATTTGTTATCCATTAATTTGTCATTAGCAATACAAAATGAAAACCAATTTCTCCTTTCAATGCACGCTGTCAATAGGTGCACGCTTTAATATTTCCCCTATTAGCTTTTTCTTTTCCTTAAAGGAATTTCTCCCCTCTCCTCCTATTTTAATTCCAAA